AGACTTCTTTCAACATAATGATGTCACATTGTTACCATGGCCACCAAGATCTCCCGACTTATCCCCAATTGAGCACGTGTGGGATATGATGGGTAGGAGATTGCTCAATTTGCAACGTCCTCCTCAGACTCTAGAAGCACTTCGAGAGGAGTTGGTGGTTGCCTGGAATGAGATACCACAGGAGGACATTGACCACCTGATCAGCAGCATGCCTAGGCGCGATGGAGAATGCGTCGCACATCAGGGTGCATCCACACATTATTAAAGGTCAAAGGGCTTTAAAGCAGTGTAATCATTTTGAAATTTTTATCATTTACTTATTATGCTTCATTAAGTACTTATACAAAATTTTATTAAAATAAAACCATTTAAACTGGGTGTTCGGATTTATATGTCACTTAGTATAGATTGTTTGGTGTAGTGGACGAAAATATTTTTCAGGTTTTTCTCTTGGCCGTTTTAGTAATAATTGTTTTGCCACAAGCCTCTGCGATGGATAGGTTCCCAGATACGAGAGTTGTCCCAGCGAAGAAAACACAAACATTTTGTAAAAAATGTATTTATTTTATTTGCATTCAAGTTTATTTATTTATATGTTCAATAAGTTCGATACCCTATTTATAGTAAGAACTGTCTTGCTCCTCAAACTAGCCATTAACTGCCGACATTACTTCTTCATCGTTGGAAAATCTTTGATCACTGAGCCATTTTTGGAAACAGAAAATAACCCGAGAGGGATAAATCTGGTGAATAGGGTGCATGAGGTAGCAACTCAAACTTTAATTCGTTAATTTTGGCCATTGCAATAACGGATTTGTGAGCTGGTGCTTTGTCTTGAAACAACACCTTCTTCTTAACCAAATGCGGTCGTTTTTGCTTGATTTCATCGCTCAAACGTTGCAATACTCGCCGTTGATAGTTTTACCTTTTTCAAGATAGTCAATGAAAATTATCCCACGCGCATCCCAAAAAAACCGACGCCATAACCTTGCCTGTACATGAAACGATCTTCGCCTTCTTTGGGGCCGGTTGTCTCTTTTGAGTCTATTGTTTTGATTGTTCTTTTGTCTCGGGTGTGAAGTAATGGACCCATGTTTCATCCATGGTTATGAAAAGACGCAAAAATTCTGCTTTGCTGCTGTGAAACTTCGCTTAACACTCCATTGAAACATCTTCAGACTCTGTTTTTGCTCGATTGTGAGCAATCGCGGCACCCATTTTGCACACAGCTTTTTCATGTCCACATTTTCAGATAATATGCGATGAACCGCACTTTCTGAAATGCCTACTATGTCTGCTAGCTCACGCACTTTCAGTCGACGATCATTCACTACCGCTTTGTGAATTTTCTTCATTTCTGGAGTCGTCACCTCATTTGGTAGACCACTGCGATGCTCGTCTTGGCATACGGCCTCGTTTAAACTCTGCTACCCAATATTTTACTGTTGTAAACGAAGGATCAGACTCACCCAGAGTAGAATCCAGTTCAGCTTTTATATTGGTTGGGCTGAAACCTTTGAAATAAAAGTATTGTACCACGCAACGATGACAAATTTTCTCCATTTTCACATATTCACTGAAAACGTTCAGTATTGGTGGCTGCCAAACAAATACTTAACAACGTGGCGTCTCCAAACCTGACACATATGCTTTATAGGTTGCATACTTTCTAATACAATGATATTTTTCAAACAACTATGGCCATCTCAAGGTCAGGCCGGGTACTTCTGGGACCACCCTCGTACAGTACCTCGCATTCTTAGCTGGCCACCCTGTACATAGCCTCTGAAAAATATTCTCTGGAGTCGGATCGCCTACCTATCAGCCGCGACTGCTGCTTGCATCGTGTTCTGATATGGAATCACTCTAATTTCTGTCGCGCAACAGCATAGTGTTTTCTATGCTATGACGGTGCTACTACGGAGCCACGTCTGCCCGTGTTTAAGTATCGGGAAGACGCGACATTTCCAGATGCTCTACTGGTAGGGAGTGGAAAGAATGTCTATGGACTAATCGTATAGACTATTCTCAGAGGGTGTAGTTTGTGCTGAACATATACCTTTATGCATTTATAAGGGCATTGCGTGGAAAGTACAGAGTCAACCTACTCGTTTGAAAACCCGCACAGCACTGAGCTACCATAGCTTAGAGCTGTTCTTCACTAGCTTAATAACAACAAGCTTCTTGAAAGCTACATTTTAGTAAATTTTCTCCATCTTTCACCAACACAATAGAATTATACTTTTTACTTACGTCCTGCATGTATGAACATGATTGTTTTTCAGATTAACTAAATCCAATTACCCGTGTATGCAACTAGGAGATTATTGTCATGTCGCAAAGTACGTAAATCGATTGTCCTTGTTTGTCTGTCACAATACGAGGTCTGTACATTAACACGTTAAACGCCAAGCATAATGATAGAAAAATGTCCATCAAGCCAAAGCGCCAAAGTCATGTTTCCAACAAATAATGTGTCTAATGAGTCTACGTCAAAAACTGACACAAGACGGGAACGAGATGTACTGAAAAAAAGAAGGAAAATCACATGAAGTTGGACGGTATTGTAAATGGTGTTATAATAAAAATAAGGGATGAAATAGCAAAAAATAAAATTCCAAAAGTTACTACATATTGTGACAATTGTGAAAGAAATTCCCACTTTTGCCTTGCCTGTTTCATAAAAAAATGAAATTATCTTATATTTTGTATTCTTATATCATAACTTGTTTATATACTCGTATATATTTATATATATAAAAGAAAATGATCGTTCGGTGAAAGGTATACAACAAAAAGTAGGAAAATAACGGGCAAAATCCGCAAAAAGGAGGAAAGTGGATTTGAGCAGAAAATAAGATATCCTATTTCTATTGAATACCTCTAAGGCTTTTGATAATATCAACGATCAGCTTTTTATGTTTTACTAAAGCAAATATTGCCCTCAGAAAATAGGATAGGTCGTTTCGCGCCTGATGAAGCCAACCAGCAGAAATACGTATCGCTCGGGTTACCTATCCTATTTTCTCCTCGAATCCACTTCCCTCCTTTTTGCGGATTTTGCCCATTATTTTCCTACTTTTTGTTATATACCTTTCTCCGAGCTATCATTTTCTTTTTGTAGATCGCTTGGGGTTGAAGTACCACGGCAAGTGGCTATAACCGGCCGCGTGGTTGTGGTTAGATGTCTCCTTGAAAATTCGAGGTCTTCTAGCCATTTTATACTACAATGTGTAGGTTGGCTCTTGTTGTGGACTTCGTGTGTTGTTTTTTCCTCTCCATCTTCGTTTCCTCAGGTTACACTCGTATCCGGATTTATGGGCATGTGTATCTACTTTTGTAGTTACATATGTGCGTTCATTTCGGGCCTGATGAAGCCAACCAGCAGAAATACGTATCGCTCGGGATACCTATCCTATTTTTTGCTCGAATCCACTTTTCTCCTTTTTTCGGACGTTGCCCATTATTTTTTGTCCATATATATATATATATATACAGGGAGACTTCGAAGTTGAGTCATTAATTTTCAAATAATGATTGTAGAAGGAAGATAAACCAAAATATGTGTGTAAAAATAAAAAAAAATTGAAAAAATTTTTTTACCTTGTTTTATAAAGTATCCTCCCGACAAGTATTTCAGTGCGGACCTGCATTTGATCGTGAGGTCTTGGAGCACCGGCATGCAGTCCCCTGTGTGGTCTTAAGTCACCTGATTCACGAGCCCGTTGTACAACATTAACAAAGGCACGAGGGGTAAGGTTGCACTCGATTGGGAAACCGATCCGCATAAACATGTGCCATTTTTTATTTCGTTTGAGCCACGCAACAGACACCACTATTCAAACGCGTTACCGACTGACACTGACTGTATACAACTGACTAAAATAATTGTAAAAACATCGTTCCAAATTCTTTCGCTTTTTTGTTTCCGATGCGATGAACCAAACACGAGCACATAATATTATTATTGAGACAGGGCGGAACTCAAACTTCCAAAGGGCTATAACTTTGTTACTTTAATTTTACCAGAAAAATGGTAAAGGAAAAAAACATTTCTTTTGATCAGATCTACTCACTGTTAAAATAAATGACTCAACTTCGAAGTCACCCTGTATATATATATATATATGTAGGTGAAAAATTAAAGCTTCCGCCTTGATGATTGCACAAAATGGTGGTCATGGAATAATGAGTGAGATGAACCTTTGACAGAAGTGGCTTCACGACGTAATGCTCTAATGTTTTCTAAATAATTTTTAATCTGTCTTTAACTTGTCTTGTCATATTTTATATAATTTTAACCATTGTACCATGTATCCAGCTCTCACCATGTTACTGGACGTTTCCCTCATCCTATACGAAAACAACAATTAGCAACATCCTCACATACTACTGTAAGTTGATTCAATTTAAATTCATTTTGCACTTTTGTTGCTACTGTTATCATTGTAATTGCAGCTCCTGATGATGATGGCAAAGTCCATTGAAAGCTAGAGAGAATTAAAAAAAGTATAAAGAGTCCTCTTTGCTTAAATGTTGTCGAAGTACCCAACAAAAGGCGGAAGCTTTAATTTTTCACCTAACTGGTCTAGACGACAACGACCACGTCTCAAGTTATATATATATATATGCATTTCCACTGGAATCTAAATTGAAATATGGACCTCTGGTTGGAGTCACCGTGGAAATAAATTGACAACAAAGCGGTCCGTCCGGACCGCCGAATCGTTTAACGTGTTACGTAATGGGACTGATCTTTTTTAATTTCTTTTATTCAAATGCAATTACAATTTTATATTGTCGCCCTCAACATAACTTCCTACTGAAGCCGCACACGCTGGACACGGTTTTTCCACTCCTCATAATAGTACTGATACTCCGATACTGGAATAACCTTCAGCTGGTCGCTTACAGCCGTTTTAATGTTTTCGCCTGTCCCGTCAGTGTTCACGCACTCAAAATCATGTTTTGAATGTGACATAGCATCTATTTCTTTACAGTTTGAGTATGGTGATACTTTGGACATGCGGCGACATATTCAAGACCACCTATTTCATCGTTCGAGAGGCTCCAATACAATTTTGGGTGTGCGGAAGCATCCAGGTTACTGTAGATATTCTTATATTACTTCAGGTAAGACATCAGAGTTGCAATAGTTCACAAAAAATACTCGCAAGACAGCTATGGATAACGGAAAAATTGGATAAAATTTCTGGCTCTAGTCATAATCGCACGAACATTAATTTCAGCAAAAAATTGCAATGTTTTGATATACTGGAAGTATGATTTATATACAGGATAAAAAGAAGTGGTCCTAGGATACTACCTTGGGGGACTCCAGTTTTGATGAAATAGCTTTATTTATCTTGGTCTGATAATCTGAAAACCATTTCACTGCTTTTCATATACTCAGTATGGTCCTGTCTGTTGTTTCAAATGCTCTCTTCAAATCAAGAAATACAGCTATTATCATCTCATCAGTAACTTTAGTCCTTGTCGCACTTTCTCTCACTAGCTCGAGGGCTGTACCTGTACAAAATATCTTCCGAAATCCCGCTTGTGTTTCAACTTAAATTTTGTTTTCGTCTACGCATTTCAATATTTGCTCATGAATTATCGACTCTAATAATTTCTCAATATCTGCTAGAAAATTTGCTGCTCTTAATTCATTATACAGGGTGCTTGGTGCATCGTTTGCCAAATTGAAATGGCGGACAGGGGTGGTCTTTTTCTATCACCCCAGGTCCCTCAAACAGTGTGCCCAACGGCATTAATTATGTAGATTTTTTAATTTTTTTAGTAGAAACTCCAAAATGTAATACACAAAGTGAAATAAAAAAAAGACGTTGTACGTGTAAATTATACACAACAGGGTTGTCCAATAGGGACGCAGGAAAGTAAACGTCAATTTGACATAGACGCCATCTTTGTTTTCTGTCACCGACATGTCATTTTGTTAGTTGAATGTTTACCATTGATCGCTATGGAGTCGTATTCGATTGAAGACCGCATTAAAGTTATTCAAGAGCACTACAAGAATGGTGCAAAAATAAAAAACACATTTCGCGCGCTTCGTGAACATTTCGGTCGCAACAACCGCCCAAACGAAACAACCATCGGTCGTCTGGTGCGTAAATTCGAGGCAACAGGTTCTGTGGCAAATCGGCCAAGGAGCGTTCGCACACCGGAAAATATTGCTGTCGTGAAGGAGAGTGTGAGAGACGATCCGAAACAATCAACAACGCGTCGATCCCAAGAATTGGGCATTTCGAGAACCAGTTTGCTCCGCATTCTCCACGAGGATTTGAATGTACACGCCTACAAGATCCAATTGACACAAGAGCTGCGTCGGGCCGGCCATTTTTCGCACCGAACAAAATTGACCCTGTACACAAAATTTGCAAATTCAAGAAATTGTTTCAACTTTTTTGTGGCTTGTGGCATACCGTTAGAATCGGAATAAACTAGAGTAGTTTTTAAAAGGATTCTAAGAACGTGAACGCTTTTAGCTTTTTTTACAGAAATTCAAAATTGAGACTTACATTTTTTTGTTCTTCTTTGTAACCCTTTGTGAGTTTATAAATAAAAAACTACATGCTGCTGGCAAGTAATGTTGATTTTGTAACATTGGTACAACATCACCCATTAAGACAAAATTAATCATTATTTGGGCATACTTTTTATTTTTTTTATTTCACTTTGTGCATTAAATTTTGGAGTTTTTACTAAAAAAAATTAAAAAATCTACATAATTAATTCCGTTGGGCTAAAAACTATTTGAGGGACCTGGGGTGATAGGAAGAGACCTCCTCTGTCCGTCATTTCAATTGGGCAAACGATGCACCGAACACCCTGTATTATTTGGAATTCACTTTGTGTCAAGTTAAATCTTTAAAATGCATATAGTTTTAGGATTTACTAATTCGAACTGTATTGTGTGTGCAGGTATTTATGTATAGGGGCAGTACAGAAGCCCGTAGGTCAACGACTGGTCCACACCGGGTCGATTGAGTGGTTATCGTCTGGACGCACGACGAGCAGCCGGCAACCAAGAAGGCCGACTTGCACTGCTGCCAACTGGTACGTTCACAAAATTACGGAAATATCGTGGATATTCAATGGAACCATTATGTGATCGAATAGTACAATTTGCTTACTCTACAAGTCGAGAAGTCGTAAGTTTGCTTTATTCGGAAAACTGGCATGGACACTGTTCATAACTCCTGTTTAAAGTTAAGAATTCCAAGTTGAATAATCTGTGAAAATAAAAAGTTCGCCAGTTTTGGTTTGAAAAATAATGTTAAAATCGCTTTAAAATAAACTAATCTCAAAATACTCTTCAAGGTCTTGTATAGCACTTTGATCTAGATACTTGGTCACCTCAGAAATTATAATGTTTATCCATGTTTGTAAACATTGAATATACCCCCACCGTAAACCAGATCAATCTTTTTTAAATAAATTACAACGTTTTTTGTTCCAATAAATCATTATTTAGCTTTCCATTAACTTTTCTCCAAAGCCGACCATTTTCGAGTTATAAGCCATTGAATTTATTTATTTATTTAAACTCTTACAAACAGATTTGAATGTAGTTACATGTAGGAGTGCTTACTGGCTAGTAGAGAAACAGATTATACACAAAAACTTATAACTAAAAGAAAAACTATAAAAATTAACAAACAAATAAAATGAGATAAGGATGTTTTACTTAAATTTAAAATCACTCTTAAATTGTCTCACAGTAGACGAAATGAGATCCACATCACAATTTTGTATATAACTATTACACTCATACATTATTCTATTGATAGAAGAACAAGTTACAGGTGAACCGTGAAAGAGTCTGTTGCCTCTTATTCTCAAGTTGATTCTAGGAACAGCAAAGAATATATTATTTACTAGGGAACACTTCTTATATTTTAAATTATTAATTATGTAGTAAATGAACAAGATATCATTCAAACCACGCCTAACGCTCAACCGCACAATTTTAAATTCTGTTAGCATACTATTATAAGAGATCATCATTGTTTTGGGTGACAAGACAACAGAGGCATACTCCAAAATAGGTCGGACCAATGAGTTGTACAAATTATTATAGACTTAGTTTACTTAAAGTGCTCTGGATTCCTTATCATATAACCCAGCATCCTATATGCTTTGTTTACAATAGTTTCATAATGCTGATTAAATTGTAGGTTAGTTTGAAAACAGACCCCAAGATCCTTACATTCATTTTTCTTACTTAGCAATAAATTATCAATTTTGTAATTAAAATCTATAAATTGTGATTTTCGTTTAAAAGTTAAACTATGACATTTTTTTATTCTCCTTGAACCACTGGGACACTGAACTTAAATCAGTTTGCACTTCAATACAATCTTGAAGGCAAGTTATATGCTTGTTTATTTTAAAATCATCAGCAAATATGAGACATTTGGCATATTTTACACAGTTTGGCAAATCATTCAGAAAAATTAATTCCTAAAAAGTCCCACAAATGCTTAAAAACTCGGTTAAAAACTATAATTTTTGATAAATCCATTTTTTATTCTCAAAAACTGCATGTTTTGTGCATTTTATTGAGCTTTCTTTCTTCAACCGGAACTTGTTAACAAATATATGTACATCTCTGAAATTGTTTGTGAATATTCCTCTTCTATGGAAGAATGAAACGAGTGATTACTTTTGTTCTTGTAACTTTTCCTTTTCGAAAATTCTTTGATTTTCTTGAAGCCTCGTCTCGCAGCAAGTTGAGTTTTCAAGGAAAGCAAAGATTTTTCGAAAAGGAAAAGTGATAATATAAAAAGTAATCACTCGTTTCATTCTTCCATAAAAGAGAAATATTCACACACAATTTCAAAGCTGTACTTATATTTGTTAACAAGTTCCGATTGCAGAAAAAATGCACAAAAAATGCATTTATTGACAAAAAAAATGAAAACATTGCACACGATGAAATTATCAGATGAAAAGGATTTAGAATTCTGCTGCAAACAGGAAGTTGAAAAAAATTGCCACCTTAAGGGAATTTGTTAAGAAATATACAATTATATTAAGCTGGAACCTTACTTGGTAGTGCTACACACCATATTTCCGCTTTTACTATGGGTATGTCGTAAAACTTTGCAGGTAACTACCGCTACCACCGACGAGACGTCCACCATTTTGTCAGAAAGTGCCGTCACAGCTGTCACCGCCTGCGCAGTGGCGCCCATCTCCAACAATATCGTTTCTACTGTTGATGATGTATCCGTTACACCGCCGCCCAGTGGTTGTCTAGATTCGTCGTCTACTCCCAACTGCCTTGAGGTTTGTGTCAATTGAGTAGATAGAAAGTAGATAAACGGATATACCTCAAGGCTCGATCTTGGTCCCAATCTTCTTTATGTTCTGCCTAAACGAATTCTGAAGCCGTATTTGAAGACATTTTCATTTTGATATCTGATAAAGTACATACAATTCTGGAATTAAATGCAATAATTTAATTTTTGTTTCTTTGTTGAAGATTTTTTCAGCATCAATGCCACAATGTCAATTTTGTATAATTATTTTCTGTAATTTTACATTAATTCTTGTCTATTAAAATGTCATCACTATCCATATTCATCCAATATTCATAAGGTGATTTTTTAATTTCACATTAAACATTTTTAAATTCGAATACTGTTTAATATCATTATTTAGTCTATACTCCCTTTTGAAATACATATTTACTAATTATGATACTGTTACAGTTTTGCAGATGACACTCTATACTGCCTTTAGTTTCGTAGTTATGATAATGACTATTAAATTTTGAGAAATTTTCTAAATGTGGTGGTAATACACGATTTTTTAATTTGAATATGAAAATGAGTACTAAATAACATATGAAATTTTTTACATTCAACGATTGTAGTTCTTCTAACATAGACTTAATCCTAGCATGTTTGTTTTTATTTAAAATCATTTTCATAGTTTTATTTTGTAGAATTTGTAATTTTGAAAGCCTATCCACATATTTTTGTATAAATACGATTCATAGTTATTGTCGAAATAACCAGTTAAATGGAAGCCTTTTCTTTGGGATATCGACAAATTATGCTAAGTGTACCCTCTTGTCTTACAATACTCAAGCTTTCAACACACTATGCTGCCATCATCAGGAGCTAAAAATAAATTAAAAATAGTAAAATAGCGACCATGCTCAATTGAAGAAATTTTACTTACTCCGTCAGTGAGAATAGTGCTAGTATTTGAAGTTAAAAAATGTAAAAGAATTAATTTTACATCAACAATATAATTTAAACATTTTTCACAATAAATTCTAAAAGTTTTCGATTACGTTTTGAACTAGAACTAGTGCTCCTCTTAATGTATCACACACATTTTGATTTTTGAACAAGAAACCAGTCGCCCTACTGCTGCCTCAATGAAAATGGTTCCAAGTTCACACAAAAATTCTAATCTCTCGACCACGTTATCATTTTTAGGTTATTCCAAAATGTAAACTAAAATTTATCTGATTAATTGCTATCCAAATCCTTCTGCAGTTTAGTAGTTTAAGCTTAGTCATGTTCTGCATAGTTTTTTGACGTAGATTCAGTTTTCGATCACCTTGCCATGTGTCTTCTTTTACATTTTTTAACAGCAAATACTAGCACCATTCTCAGTACATTAAGTAAAAAAATTTCTAATAAATTGATCATGGTTGCTATTTTACTATTTTTAATTTGTCTTTAGCTCCTGATGATGGCAGCATAGTATGTCGAAAGCTTGAGTATTGTAAATCAAAAGGGTACGTACACTTAGCATAATTTGTCGATATCCCAAATAAAAGTCTTCCATTGATTAATAAAACACAGTTGTATTGATTGTCTATGGAAATAAAGATATTGTATTGTATTTATACTGTAAAAACAGAACTTGCAACTTGTGGACTGAAAAGTCTTGAATATAGGTAAACCGAGTATAATGCTTTTTCCTTTTCGAATGAAGGTGGTGAGCGCCGAAGTCCATGCAGATGCCGATTCTGAAGACGCAGGTGAAAATCAACCGTTATCTTCCAAGGTGGCAGCCGCGAATGGCCTTGTACCTCACCACAGACGACACAGGGTCTCATGCAGACGAATGGTAAAATAAAACTTAACAACCTAATTTTGTTCAGTTTATTTACATGATGTCCTCAGAGTTTTGACCTTCCTTTACAGAGCCTATAGGTAGGACAATAATAAGCATGTTTTTTTGGTAATATACACCAAAGCTTTGAGATAACCTAAATATTAGGACCCACAAAGCAACCCCTCTACGTCAAAACGTATGATGTGAGTGTACTCAGAACGTCATGGATGTTTCTTTCTATCAGAGCTGCTTATGTTTGTTTATATAATGCAAAAGCCGTCTGGTTGAACACAGTTAAAGATCTAGACAGCCTCAAAAGTTTACAAACAAAAACAAGTGACAGGGCACTATTTGAAATTCCTTCGGTGGGACAAGCTATGTTTTTATTTTGTCCTTGTAAAATGGAAGAGAAGCCTAAAAGGCTGAGTGCTGATTGGGTGTTCATTATCCTTTGGATTTTGAACGACAAATGGCGCCCCCTGAGTGAGATGAAACATTTGCATCTCATCCTAGTCTGGAACAGTTGTCATCACAAGTTTTCATTTTCAAATTACCTGAAAATTTTAAAGTTTTTAAAATTCCGAATTTCCTAAAATTATTTTTAAAATAATCAGAGTCCAAAATAACTTAACATTTTTTTAATTGCCACTCAGCCCTCGTGACTCGACTAAAAATGTGGGCTTAAGAACTCCAACTGTTACGCTGTGAAGTATTTTTATGAAGTGATATATCGACGGCTGGTACAATTTAATAATTTTAGGTTGTGGGGGAGAATGGCGATTGCAGAGTCAGCATGCTTGTACATAGGCATACATTATGACGAACGCTTTCAAGGGGCTGGACCTAGGAGGATAAGGCGTGGACAGTATGATAGTAGTGATGGTGGTAAAGGTGGTTATAGTGGTGGTAGTTGGTGGATCGAGCGTGGGTTTTTGGTGTGTGAAGGTTATGATAATGTGAAGAGAAATACATCTATTCACCGATTTTGGTATCACTTTCATACCTCCATATCTCCTGTATTAGAGTATTTTTTAAGCCCACAGACATAGTTTTTCAGTTTAATCTTGTCGCCTAGAAAATATTGCCACTACGTATGAGCATTCTACAACTATACTTGTCTCTGTTAGCATAACAAAAAAATTAAAGAACATTGCTGGTTCAATGGAATGAGTGGCTGTTTTCTCATTACTTCATATCAATTACATGATCCAAAAATATGATACATCAACATATGTACTATGAACTGACGGGATATTTCCTGAATTTCATCAAAATCCAAGCAGGAAAATATGCATATTGTTACGCATTTTTTGAATTTCCGTTTCCCACCAAAAACCCAGCGCTCACTGCATGTAATCGAGCTTCCAAGGACGAATTTTTCGGAAATCGAGTGACCAAGTCGGCCCTTAGTTGACAGTGACGTGGTTCGAGGCATATTCAAAAGTTTCATTACCCCCGGTGAGTACCAAAATTATGGTAGAATCCATTGAGTAACGTTTACTCAGTTTAAATGTGTATATAGTTATATTTTTAAATAATTTTTAGGTTAGCTATGGGGTTATATTAATGAAACATTTGATCTTGTGTCGCTTTGTCACTACTGGGTAGTTTCTGTTGCGTTGTGAGACTTTGTGGACTCAGAGCTAGCAGGCTATTGGGTTATCTACCACCGCAAAATGTAACATTTCCCAAAAATGTGTCAATAATTTTGCCTTTACTTTTATAAACAATAAATGATTTATCTATGCCACCAAACAACTTTCATCTCCTGTTTATCGATTATAGTTAGGCATGTTTAAATAGTACAAACATTTAAGTGACTGTTCTTTCATATTCATAAATTTCATTTCTTATCTTCCCTTTACAAATTTTCCCAGCTTAATTGTTAGAATCATTTTGCTGAAAACATTCACTAAATTCATGATAACCCTCGTATAGATTTGCTGGCTCTGGATCTGCTGAAACTTTTAGTTAGTTCGTGAATGCGTTTAGACGATACGTCGGAAGATTTAACGATCAGGACTTCCATTTTGTAAAGTTGTTTTCGTTAATTTGTAAGCACAAAATTTGTTGATGTTATCGAGAAGATTTATAAAAGTAGGAGACAATCTCCAGAGGTAAACGTGTAAGGAGTTGTCTTTACGGCTATGTATCACATAGTTTACGTTGTTTCAATGGATGAACTACCAGACGCTTTGTGGAGCAAAGTAATTCGACTTATGACATTTTTACGTATTCGTTGATAGGACGGCTACAAGAACAATTCAGTAAAATTGTATAAGTAGATGTGTGAAGGAAAGGTTGAGACTAGCATCAAATTTGTCTAGTCTCCTTAGTAAAAAAGCCTCAAGTCGAAAAAATTGACTTATAATCTATTATACCATCATTTATCATTCATAAAAATCAAATTCCTAAAAAAAAAACAAATGGGCAAATCTTAGACTATTTGTCCATATGAGGTTTGTGTCAAAGCACAGCATTGCCAGATGGATCGGACAGAATTTATCCTACTTTAAGAAACCCTCAAATCACAATTAATTAATGGAAAGTGGTAGGTTTGGTTCAAAACACATCCTTAAGTAAAAATCCCCAAAATTTAGAGAAAATACCCCAACATGGCAACCCTGTCAAAGCACCACTGGTCATGCTTCTGGTTTTTGCAGCACGAACAGTGTTGCCGTAGTTTCTCCTGGTATATGGGCTTCATGATACTGCACCAGAGGTGACGCTCACAGACATATTATCAATTTTTACGGACTATAGCTCAAACCTTTCAATGGATTTCGACATTTGAGGCATCTGGAGCGGAGTGTTCAGTGTCCCGTCCGGCCTACTGCTGTCGGGTGTTTTGTCTTGTTACGCAATAAACATGCGTGTTAATCTTTTTAACACACTTCATTTGGCTGCTTGATTTACTTTTGCAAGGGAAATTGCTGCTAGATTAATCAATTCTAAGCTTCAATTTTTGAATTTCATAATTGCTATGATAATACTAAAAATCTGGGAACGTCTGCTATATTGGGCAAGGGTAATAATCACACGTCCTTCAGGATTTTTAACCACTCAAGGGCGATCGTGTTTGAAATATATTTTTTGTATTTCTATGGATAACAAATATACGTACTTCTACTTCCACTTCACAATTATGAAATGATTAAGTTCCATATTACTTTCTACATAGCATTTGGTAATTGATCTGAATGTTGTCTAATAAACCAATCTGTATCATTGAGGCAAAAAGGCTCGTGCATAATCTTAGATATGTATGCTTATTTATTCCAGAAAAATATTCCTTAATTATATTCCCCCAAAGAACGCCAGATGAACTATGTTTATATAGGTAGGTTGAAGGTATTATTTTGGCCTTCATGAGATTTCCAATTTCAAAAATACAGAATATAGCAACATTGATTGGTGTGTTGAATTAAATGTCTTTTATTGACCACATGAGGGTAAATAATTCAGAGCTCTAATGCAAGAATCCGTTGATGTATATGTAACCTAATTTTCAGCAATTTTAAGAAATCGGATTAATTCGGAAATTTGCACAGGAGTCAAAAAAACCAAATTTTAAAATAAAAAAAAAATTAATTTTGAGATTTAGAAAAAAATTAGATCAATGAATTTGAAAAATAACTGGAAAATTCGAAAATTTGAAAACTAATTCGAAGATTTGGAAACTTTGAAAAAATTAGCAGAACAATTTGGGAATTTTAAACAAAAAATTATACAAAATGGAAAAGTTACATAAACATGAATGAAAATATACCAGAAATCGAAGCTCTTGATTTTGAGTACCTTTGTTGTCGTTTTGAGACGGAACATTCAGAAAATAAATTGTTTTAAAAAAGTAACAAAAAACACGCTTTAATAGCAAATTGGAGTAAACAGAAGAAAATATATTGATCAAGTATAGGAGAGTTTGTGTTACTGCAATAGAAAGTCCAACGATCAAGTATGACTAACCAATTTTGAATGAGATCAATGTAAAAATTAAAATATTAACAAAAAATATCAATTATAATAAAAAAGCGTGGTGTCCAAATACCTATATTTTCATAGATAACTAAAGTTTTGTAAATAGTAATTAAAAAAAATTAATCTAACATATCAAGCATTCCACGCTTTTTACAATAATTGATTTTTTGTATCTTATATTTTGTATTGATCTTTTTCCAAATTGATATTAGTCATACTTGATTGTTGGACTTTCTATTGCTCACAAACTCTTCTATACGTATACTTGAAAAATCGTTTTCTACTTTTTACTTCGATTTGCTATTAAAGCATGTTATTTACGTAGAATTTTGGATCTAACGCGTTCTTGCATTGGAGGGTTCATTTATAGGTTTAAAGAAATACACATACATGAACATGTTTACAGTTAGCAGGGAAATTCCATGCAAGGGAAAATACTATCTCCGAAGAATTAGAAATAAGCTTCACTTTTAAATTGCACTCTAGACCAAAAATAAATGAATGCACCGATTTCGAAACAGCGTGAGACAAAATGGAATAGTTTATGGTGAGATATATTAGTTCATTATATCGTGTATGTAGAGTAATATTAAGTCAAAAATAGAACCGCTGAGCGAACTCACAGTGACATTTTTTGAATAAAATATCCTTGTATGCAAGTAGGCGAAAAATTTGACGATCGCCATCTGTCAATGATTTACAAAGCTCATTTCATCCTCAACCCTTTAAGGTTGAAAATGACAGAAAGGTTCCTTGTCCATGACTCAAGGTTAAGTCAAAATTTGTAAAGGAAACCCCTCATTGTTATACTGGAAAAGGAAAAAGTAAAAAAATTACGACAGAATGTGACCTCGACCTCAAATAATATTTAAGGTTTACTTGACTTGACTGAAGTCAAGGTCACATTCGGACGTAAAGTTTACTAATTTTTCCATATCCAGTATAAAGATGAGATGTTTTCTTTGGAAATTTTCATTTGAACTTCAAGGTCATGGTCAAGGCCACGGTCAAGGTCACCTTTGGGTGATCCGGCAAACCTCACAACTGGGCTGTCGAAAACATATTTGCTATAGCAAACTGTTTGCGATATATTGATTTGACCTTCAAATGACACTGGAGGCAGTCGTCGAGCCAAGGTGATGTACGAATGTGAAATTTGCTCCTCTTTTCAGTTCTGATATGAAAAAGAAGCGGTTCTGTTTGAAAATACCCGCTTATACTTGAAATGACCTGGACGGTCGTGGTCAACGTCATTGTCAAGGCTACCATCAATTTGCGATCGTGAAACCCTACAAGTTTTGTTCGAAACAATTTGCTCCGTCAAAAATGTTCGACAGAAACAAACCTCACAACCGCGCTGTCGAAAACATTTTTGCTATAGCAAATCGTTTTCGATGTCTCGATCTGACCTTGAAATAGCATTGGCAGCAGTAGTCAAGGTGATGTTCGGATGCAAAATTTGCTTCTCTCTTCTATTCAGATATGAAAAAGGGGCGGTTGTATTTGAAAATACCCACTTAACCTTGAAATGACATTGGCAATCCTAGTCACGGTCAGTGTTATGTTTTGAACTTTTTTATAGAATGTCTATTTTCTGCCATTTTTAACATTATGAGTTGAGGTTGAAATCAGCTTGGCGAATCATTGGTAGGTGGCGATCGTCATATTTCTCACCTATTTGCGCACAAAATTTTGAATTTTTCAGAAGACCACGCACCACACTGATGAGTTGCCTAAAGAGCACGAAGCAGTGCTGTATGCGGCTGGTCATGGTTACAGAAACATAAAGCAACTTCCAATTCAACCTAAGATATCCTACTGTAGTTTTCATCGGTAAACATATGAGTTCACAATTTATCAGTTTGTATATTTTTGGAACGTTTGTGGACTTTCTTTTTTCATTTTTTTTAAATACTTTGGTTTTTAATTTTCTTCTTCGATTCCTACCACATTCCGTAATTTTAGTGGACAGTAACTAACAGACAGAATATAGCCTGTAAATTCAATATTCCTTCATACAAAATTACCAGTTGCCTCAAAATGGTTTAACACAAATCATTTTATTTCAGTTGGATGTATAAACACCAACCGAAAACAATTAAAACGTGTTATTTAGAAATATGTTAGGATATGGGTTATGTTAACCAATGTTCACACATTGTTTTAGCTTTATATCAATTTAGGTCGTACGTGTAAACATAATAAATATGAAAATTGGTTTCAATGGATCTTCACATCACTTATAAATCAATATAGGTACTTCTGTATCTTCAGCGTAGGTACAATCCAGTTTCTAGAGATTTGTTCATTGTAAGTGAATATAATTTACGGCTTTGTCATTGTGGGACACCCAGCTGAGTATCAACAAAAAGAACAAATTTTCAGCGTGAGTAAAACTGGACCAAGTACTCAGTTGACTTTTGAGGTTATATCTATCAAAAAAAGTAATGCCTTATTAGGATGAATTCTAATTTAGAATATTGCAGTGAGATTAGTAGATTTGCAACAAACAATTTTGCTGAAAGCATCTTTGACAACTACTAGACTTTTGTAAAATTTCTTATTTTGAGTTCTATGCCAAATATGTTGGAAATACGTTCAAAGCTCCGCGTTCTCTTCCAGTTTTAAGCTCCCTTTCTACTATTGCAGCTAATCGTAGAAAATCTCAGTAGTTTTCAATACTTGGTGCTTTGTCTGATTACGTTAGATTGATATTTCGCAGAAATTAGTCGATCAAATAACGTTTCCTAGATTTGCCAAATAAATCTCCATACAAAAAATTGTATTATCTGCAAGGGAAAGGAATGCGGGCGGGAAATAGCGATGCTGTCGGTCATTGTTGTATGAAGTACAGTTCTTGAGCTATAATTTGGATTATGTGAGGTTTGTTAATGTCAGTGGTATCAAGAGGATACCCTACCTGTTTCCTTTCTGCATTTTTTCGCGGATAATATTTATCTAGATTATGTTTTTGCGTATGGTGCTATTTCGTTATCACAATGCTTCCTATGTTGATTAGTTTTAACATAAATGTTTATGTAGAATTCCTCACACACTGACCAGCGAATAGGAGCGTTGCCATTATACAGGGTGTAACAAATTTTGTACATAATGTGGATATATGTAGCTGTTGATATGTTTTAGTGTCACTTCTGAATAGATAAGCTTCGAACATACCTTGGAGTTGATGTTGTTATGCCCTGTACTTGTAATTATAGATGTAACGAGGTGTATAATATATTTTTTGTAACATCAGCAATAAATTTATCTGTTGTGTCATCATTACCGAATGTAACGAAGTGAAAGAAAGAACGAGTTGCAATAAAAACATGTTTTGTCGAAATTGACGTAACACATGCATTTTCGCTGAAGCATCTGCATGGGCGCCAAATAAAACCACGGATGTAAAATTGACGATTTACTATCACAGACGTAGAACTGAAGTCATTTCAGGCAATGTGGTTTTTTAATAAATTAATTTGTGTATAATAAAAAATACTTTTTAGCTGTACTAGGCCGTGAAGGTTAAAACTGCCCTGTTGCGACTCAAACAGGAAACAAGAAAAGTTAATTATTCCCATTTTAATACATATGTACTTTTACATAGATTGTTCTGTTCAAAGATGGTATCCAGCATTTCTTTTAATGTGTTATACAACTTTGATCAGGGAACATGTAAATAAAAAAGCAGTAAATATTTTCGACAAAAACCTAATTATTTTATTAATTATGTTAAATCCTTTGTAATAGGCAGCATGATATTATGTTTAACCACCAATAAGGAGCTTGGGATGAAAATCATAGTGTATATTTATACCAGCCATGTTTGTGGTGTTTTTCGTTCCCAAGCATCACTGTAGTCACAATTCAACACTGTTGGAGCTGCGTCATAAGAATATCCTTCAACTATGAATTTTAATATTATCCACAACAAAAATTAACATTCTAGCTTCAATTGCTCATAAAAAAAGTATAGGCAGAATTTAGGGGTAACTCATCATAATCTATTTGGCATTTTTTTTTGTGGGAATAATGAATTCTATAAATAAAATACCTTGTTGGGATGATTTATTAAAGTTTTGATTGATTGTTTTGAATGGTTCATTGTGTTTTAGTTTCTATGAGCCAACTCTAACAGTTTTGGAATCCTGTGCTTTTTCGCTGTGATTATTCTTTTAAATAATTACTATATGTGTTACTAGTCAGGTTGTATTGATTTTTATTTGTATCTGTCAATTATATACATCCGCTGTTGGAAGTTGGGTTAATGGACAGTAAGTAGTCGCAGAGGCAGCCTTTTAATATTCCTTTAACTCAACCGTTATGGAGAAATAATTCTGCATCAGTTGTTGAATATTACTGTCCAGAAATTCCCGCCATTCCTGTATAAATGTCATTCGGATCAATGAAACATTAAACTGTACCTAATAACTTTATGAGTTCGTTGTGTGATATGTTCTAATGATGTGGATATTTATTTTTTAGACGGTTGACGCAGGTGCTTTAATAAATTTAGTTGTTTATATCGATGTCTTTTTATTGAGAAACCTGAATAATGAAAATTCAACCCTATGCAGCCAGGCTTATCTTTTCATTATGAAACCATCCGTTTTATATTATAGATATATTGGATCAGTGTCGTATTAAGGTCAAGGTACCGTATCTCTTGGAAACTTCTTTACACGAATGCCTGCTAGATACCCGACCATGCACCTTGATATCTTCTTTAGTACCACAAAGACATCTAATCCCTTCCCTAACCTCCTCCAAAGGCTACCGTAGTCTACTCATCACCCGGCCATGATAAAACGACAATAAAAAGGCCCAGAAACATCACTATATAGTCAGAATCACGAAAGATGACTATTACGTCATACCATAAATTGTACTGAAGTAATCAATGGACGTACGTCGATGACAAAATCACGATGTCACGAATCATGACAACAAATTTATATTATGATATTGCGAAGTTGGGTTATTTCACTGATTACTTTTATTTTCATTTTATTTCATGGTTTTGAGTAATAGTAATCTTAGTGGGGAGTTTTTGTTTTGAAAAAAAAAACAGTTATTATTACCGTAAGACAGAAACAAAAAAGACCAAAGTATTATTCGAAAACAACCTAACCTGCTTTAACAGAACCTAACTATTCATCTTTCAAATGTGATCGATCATGCAACACGAAAACATCGTCTATCTTTGTCGGATACATGCATGTTAGCAATACAGTTTGTTTAGACAAAATTCTGTTTGTCTCTGTCTAGCATATCTGAAACTTCATTAAAAATATTGAGAAATCGCTGTCGTTTGTCTTTAGAACAGGCTAAAACGATGACGTAATCGTCATCTTTCGTGATTTCGACTATAGGCTACTTGACTCATATCTAATTTCATAGAATAAATGAGTATTCCTTACAATATTTGGCTTAAATACAGAGTGTTAGTTTTCTGTATATATGTATAAAACTAACATCCTGTACTTTGTGACCAATTGACGGAATCAATCATAAGAAATGAATCTATAATATAATGAATATTACCTCTATACTTTGAGATAGGCCATAATATTTTCTAATCAGTAAAGAGAAACTTTTTGGCGATTTCTAATATTTCTAGTACTCATAGGTACCTAAAATGATTTCGTCACTCACCTTAGAAAAAAAATTTAGTAGATTGGATTTGTTCTTAGTCGCCGCTTGCAATTCTCCTTCGATTCTCTTAGATACAATAATATCTAGTTCCTTCTCGGATTTTGCTTGTAATTTGTAATTTCGCCACACTTCGTTAACTAACTTTTGTACATTCTGTACTTTCGTACTTGTATGAGATTTTTAAAACTTTCAAACAATTTTTGGTATAACTTGGATTTGTCTATGTGAAACGACATCTTATTTAAACATTAAACTTTGGCTAACGGAATCAATGGTAACACAAATGTTAACTTGCTTTACTATGCTTATAATACGTCTACTCGATATAGTATCCAAACGAAACAATACACTGATAGAGGAAATTTAGACAAGTGAACACTGCGCGGTAATTCCCCTATTCGGTTCTAAAGCGAGTAGGGGAATTACCGCGCGCTGTTCACTAAACGTTTGCATTATTTGCGGGAATCCCCGAAAATGCGTTTCGTTTTCAAGCAAAGACAATGTGAGGGATGCCATTCGTGTAAAAAAGTAAATAAGTACCGATGACGTAATCATCATCTAGACTCCCCTACACCCCATGTCATCCAAAATAAGCAAAGCACCTACGTATGTTTACCTCATTTTAATAATTTTTGGCATATACCCTAGATCTAGAGTAGTAATACAGTACTGCTCTAACAATTGCAAACAGAATAATATTCACGCCATCAATCGAAGGTGTCGGGATGGCTAGCGATACTTCTCTAACGCCTCCGATGTTGACCGAATCTCCTCGTTGAGGCCGCAATCGTTCACGCAAAACCTTGTAACTCTGGTTGTCTAAGCGTCGACGTTTCTGTACGCCTGTCGAACATTTTGGTCCATGTACGAGGATGTCTCTTCGGTACTTAGAGATCCAGGTATACTAGAGCGTTGCGGTATTTTCGACTATAGGGGACTTCCTAATTATTTTGCTCCCGATCATTAGTGAGATCTAGAAGTACTACTCGTTGCAGTACTGTTTTTCGCTGACAACTGACAATTGCAAAGAGAATATTCACGCGATCAATCGAAAGTGGCGAATTTTGGTCAGTATACGAGGATGTCTCGCTGGTACTTAGAGTTCCAGTTATACGAGGGCGTTACAGTATTTACTAATAATTGCTAACACAAGAGTAAAGAGGTCAAAAGGGATAGACTTCTGCGTATACCGATAAATTGCCTCCATATACGTTTTGTTTCTCTACAGGAAAGGTGGATGCGTGTCTGTTCAAGAGAGAAGGAGAACGACGCGTGGGCCGAAGCTCGTGAAACAGGAAAAGTGCGGAAGTCTCCTATAAAGCACCCGATAATGGCAACAGGGATAGAGAGCAGTGGTTAAATCTGTTATGAGGCCGTTTACTTCCCGGAAAGAGTGGGTGTTACTATGAAATTTATGCCGTGAAAGAGGGGAAAGATCTCAAGCGTATTTTTCATGCTTTCGGTCAATGAGGGTTATTTCCCGAGCATAAGCTAGGGGTGAATTGTGTTAGCAAACACTTTCAAATTTGTTGTCTGGAACACTCCCAGGACTTTAGTCTAGGAATTCAACATTGGTCTCGGGGTGGAGGGGGCCTGAAGTGCTACTGAAAAAATCGCATCAAGTGGCCAAAAAAAAAACTCCTCAACATGTCTCTATAGCATTCCCCGTTTACCGTCACGCTGTTACCATCGCGAGCTTCATTCCGAACAAATAGTCTTCTCAATTTTCGCAAAGTTTCTGCAACACTTTGAAAATTGTTTTTGAATATTTCTCACCTTGGTTCAAGATTAAAACGATCCATTGCTCACAGCGGAAGTTTGACACAATATACCTGACGATATGTTGAGCATGGAAGTGACACCAACGGTCAAAATAATACCAACTTATGACCCACCCTTTATAATATAATGAATATGATTGGAGAAAGATATGGTGAGTTTTCTTTTTTAAAAAAGGACAACTTTTGTACGCTCTGGTATTATTTGCCCGAGGAAAATGTACTAATAATATACGAAATATCCATTCCACAAAATATGTGACCGAGATACCGTTTTTAAAAATCGATCCAGTGGCAGCGGTGAAAAAAGCCAAAAACGAAATAAAAAAACGTCTAAACGTTGTTTTTTGACGTGTCAGAGGGTCATGATCATTTAAAAAAATGTATTGATAATATATTAGGAGGTGGGGTTGTGGAGGGAATGTCTGAATTTTTCCGACATCATAGGCATTTCCGTACGTCTGTCTTTAAAATGTCAAATTATAGAGAAATCTGACGATATAGAAAGGGACAACGTTGCCAGATAGGCAGTAACTATCGGTAGGACAGGGAAATAATTTCTATGGACTAATTTAGGTCTGGGCCTGTTTGGCCAACTTAATCAGTTCAATTTCTTTGGAAAGTGCAGATTCAACCTATCTGATGCCAATTTTTACAAGCTATCCATCGATGCAGCTGTTGCAGTCAATTTAGAGGTCTATTCATGCCATAAAAACTGAAAAGATACCTAGCATAATATTTGCACCTCCACACAGAAGACCTTCTCACTTCATTTGACCTTGAGAATACAACTCCGTTATAAGATCCATCTATACATTTTTTCAAATTCAATATTTCTTGGTCTCCATAATAGTTACCATTAATAAACTATTCCAAAAACGACATCGCATATTTGCTGGAATGACATGTGAAAATCGATTTGGCGTTATTTCGTTCTGGGCGTTACGTGAGGCCAATTATAGAGCTACATTGATAGTAGCACGTGCAGTTATATTCGCAGTTCGTCGTCTATCGACATGTTCACCTCATCCGTAACGCAATCATCTTCAAATCAAATATTGACATTCCCATCTACTCATTTCTAGGCGGTGCTGCAGGGTAGCGGGGAGGGGGCCGAGAAGCGCCAATCGACGACCCTCTTACGATTCTTCCAGTAGCGTAGTGGGAGTATTACGCTTTTTCCAGCCATTGTTAAAAGCATATGCAACATAAAATCTGAGAGAATCTGAATTGTGTAGAGTTCAGTGGGGGAATATGGCAACATACAATTCAAAAGCTCACATTCTAACAAGCAACCAACCCAACCACAAGGAGAAGGCGGCATTTTAGAGCATGTGTATTTGTGAAATGCTCGTTGACATAATCCCCGACTGAAGAATGGTAAGAAGCAAAAATATCAAATGCTACGCTATGGTCATATTACCGGTACCCGTGGGGAAAAAATATACAGGGTGTCCGCAAAGTTGGGGTTTTCCTTTTCAGAAACAACTACCCTTGAAATAACAAAGGTAATGTGTAGTGAAACGAGGGCGACCAAGTAAAAAAAATAAAGAAAAAAGTACTCACTCTCCAGTTGACGAGAAGGGCTAAGTACGTCTCTGCCCGAAATCATACCGCTCCAACAGAAAATGAAATCATCTGATGCGCTACCGAGCAGACGCAGGCAAACAAGGAAGGCAAAATGTTGCGTAAAAAGGCTAGGTCTAGGTTCACCATGCCAGCCCAAACATTCACCGAAAATGTTTGTTGAAAATGTGCCCGACGGACACCGTGCGGATTTTCTACTGACCAAACATGAGTGTTGCGAAAGTTATTCACCCCATTACGCGTGAACGTAGATTCGTCTGTCACCAATATGCACTTCAAAGAGTACGGATTATTGTCATGTTGATGCAACAACCACTCACAAAACCGCACTCTTGCTGGAAAATCGTCAGGTTGAAGGGCCTGTACACGTTTTACGTGAAACGGATACAGCCCCTCTTCACGCAGCGTTTGCCACACTTTAGTTTTTGATACTTGCACTTCTCTAGCCACGTCTCTAGTGCTTGTTGAGGGATTCACGTCTACGCGATTATCTGTACACGCGTGA